CTTGACCGCTGCGAAGGCCAACCCCGGGCAGGGGGTGGGTGTACGCCTCCGGGGCCGGGTGGGGGACCGGGTGACCGGGGCGAGAGGGCGCAGGGCCGCGGGGGACTGGGTGCGGCGGGCTCTGCGGGAGCTGGGGCGCGGCCCCTCGTGCCCACCCTGGCGGGATGGGGTGAGCGCGTGAGCTTCAGGCCCCATGGCCTGCCCCAGCCTTGCTGGGGGAAAGCTGGTCCTCGCGCCCTGCCAACTTCCATGGGGGGGTGGGGGCGAGGATGCGCCGGTTCTGCTAGGCCCACAGGTTCAGAGAGGGGGACACGTGAGCGCACGCCTCCTCCCCCTGCAGTGCCGGCGGGGCGCAGAGGGTTTGCCAAAGGCCTCGCGTTGCCTTCTCTTCCCTCTGCCCTCTGCCTTGTCCCCCAGGTCTCCTCCACGAGGTGAAGGGGTTTGGGCTTCTCCCCTCCCACCCCCCAGGTGCCTGAAAGAGGAGAAGGCTGGAGCAGAGGAGGAGGAGGAGGAGGAGACTGGGGGGGCTACTGCTGGTGGTGACAGGGCTGGGAGCGAGAGGAGAGGGACGGCAGGGAGGAGGGGGCTGGGTGGGGTGGGGGTGACAGGCTCTGAGAAGAGCCTGGTCAACGACCAGCACCACTCTGCGAGGAGGCCAAGGCCGGCTCCTGCAGCTGGCGCATCCCGGGAGGAGACACCTTGTCTCCTTCCCAGGGCTCCTTGTCAGCCACCAAGCCAGGGAACACACTGACACACAGGTAGACAAAGATCTGAGCCAGGTGGTGGGAGGTAAGTCGGGGAAGGAGGAGGGGGAATCAGTATCTGCCGTGGGCTTGGGGGCCGAGGGGTGGGGGGCATGGCCCTGAGGGGCCCTGGGGTGCTTGGGAGGTGAGCATTTCCAAGACGGTATGTTGGTGAGGTGGGATGGGGTGGGGTGGGGCAGAGGGGGCAGGAAACACAGGGTGACCTGCCCCTCCTCAAGAAGCCCTCAAAGGCAAATGTACCCCTAGTGAGATCCCCGCCTGTGCTGGTGATTTTCAGGGACTTGTTGGTAACTCCGCGAGGGTTGCCATAGCTTTTTTATGTAGGGTGACCAGAACCGGTTGAAACTGGTTTGAGGCAGATCAGCTCCTGAACACAATGCAGTCACTGAGCTACTACAGTGGGATAGCAGCTTCCTCCCTTCATGGCAGCCAAAAGCAGAGGCGCTTGCAGGAAGGTACCATCCCAACACACTAAGTGAACGCACCCTTAGACACCACACAGCACTGGTACGTGGCGAGCGGCGCCCCAGCTTCTGGGTAGAGGAGAGGGCAGAAACGGGCACGTTTGCAGGCTCCGAGATGACTCTGGGCTCCGCCTGCCTTTTCCGCTTGCTTAAGGGATGGACAAGGAGCTGAGATTTATGACCCTTATTAAAGAAAGGGGGAAGAAAAGGGCCTTGCTAGGGTGGGGACACTTGGTGTCTGCAGTCTCTTTCTGGGGGATTTTTAACCGAAACCCAGCCCCAGATGAGCTGAGGGGTTTGTGATGGTGCTTGGTTTGCTGCTGGAGAATGCTACTATGCATGCTTTTTCTTCTTTTGCAGTGGCGGCTCCTTCGGTTTTGCGCTTTTCCTTTTAGAAGCTACTAAAGGGTGTTGGGAGACTGATGACTGTTATGAAGGCCAAAAGGTAACAGTATTATTGTAGGAGATCAGCATAAATGCATTCCAGGGCTGCTGCAAGGCATACATGCTGTCTTTTTCCCCCCTTCCCCACTCTCTTTCCTCTCCTTGTAGGCCTGTTGACTGGGGCTGCTTTTAACCCTTTCATGCTTGCAGAGAATGCCACCGCGTGACAGTAACTGAACGTTGGTCACCAGTCTTTCCAAAAGGTCAAGGTTCACAAGGTGAGACCATGAGCATGTGAGCATGACTTTGAAATATTTATTTGCCAGAGACATTCAGACGGGGGCTGAAGGATGGTTGTGTGTGCCCCCCTCCACTCCCCTGGACCGAGAGGGGAACAGGAACACTCAAAAGGTGTTCCAGGTTTATGGACAGGAGGCTGACTTTATGTAGGTGTTGCTATGGAGGGGGGTGGGGTGGGGAATCGGGACGACTTTATGACATGGCTTATGTCTAGGTATTGACACGACAGGCCGGGGAAGAAGAAGCGAGCATAGCTTCGGGCTCCTCAGGGCCTCGTGCAGAAGGCACTGCTGACTGCACATGACGGGGGGTGGGTGGGGGGTGGGGATGCACACACCGATGGGGCGGTTTCCCCACAGTTCCCAGAAAGGGCTCCCTCCAAACCCAGGTGGCCTGGCCGCCCCTTCAGGATTCAAGGAGGAGGCTGGGGGTGGCTTCTGTCTTTTATTCATGCCTCTGCCACCCTCCCTCTTGGCTCTCTTGTGCTAACCTGAAAGAAAGGCTTTTTCCCTTCCGGACTTCAGTGGTGGAATGTCTTTTATTGATTCGGGGGTGGGGTAGGGGCTGTGGACAGTGAGTCGCCATTGGGTTGCTTGTGGCATACATTTTAATGTAGAATGATAATGCCATTGCAGGAGGAAGCCCATACCCCAGCTTCCAATGTGTAAGGAGGGCGCCTGTCTGAAACAGGCCGCGGAGCCTTCCAGATGTGGTGGTAGGAAATGGGTCCGGCCTTAGAGGATTGCAGGGAGGCTGGAACTGCCATGCTTCCCGGGCCCTCCACTAGGAGGGAGCAGTGGGGGAGAGCATCTGGGAGCGGAGCAGGGTGCAGAACAAAGAGGGCCAGCGCTGGCAGGGGAATGTGCACCATTTTGCCTTGGGGGGGTTCCTGTAACTTCCCCAAACAGGAAGCCAGTGGCTCCAGGATCCTCTCCCAGCTTGATCCCAGCCACAGATAGAACCTGGGCTGCCTTTGCTGGCTCAGTAAAGGGACCACCCAGAGGAGCCCAAAGAAGAAAGCATGGGGTGGGGTAATGGACGCCTTCCTCTCCTGGGAAGTGGGGAAGCTGTGTGTGCGTCTGGGTTCAGCAGGACATGTGGAGTCTCTGGGCGTGCGGCGTGGTGTGAGGGCAGCTGTGGGCAGAATGTTGCCGTGAAGGAGTGTCAACTCTGTCAGGTCTTTTGTTGGGATGGTTTCTCCTTTGATGGGAGAGCGAGTGTCCGCTGGGCGGGAAGATGGGCAGAAGGGAGACATGGGTGTGTGGTTAGCGTAGACTTTATCTCGTGCTTTCGCCAGCAAGCAGCTGGCTGGCAAGATGGAACAAAATCCTCTTACCAACCCCTGGGCTCAAACTGGGTTTTCCGACACTCTTTCTGAGTGCCTGACTTTAGCAGGAATGCACTTGCCAAGGTGGTCGATATTGCACCCTAGTTGTGTCCACCACCCCTACTCCCCCTCCCAGTGCCCCAACTCAGATTCAGATGGTTAATATGATAAACCTTAATTGGCTTAGCGCACAGTAAGCTGGTTTGTAATTTGGTCATTTACTCCTGTCTTGAAAAAGTCAGTCGTTTTTATTTTTAACTTCCGCAGCGGAACCTTTGCAAATAATCCCCCGCCCCCCCCTCACCTTCTCCAAAGCATTTAAAATGCTTTTTTGTGAGGGGATGCAGTGCCGGGAATGTTCTGGCTTACAGGCTTGGTTGGCGGTTTTGAGCCCTGTGGCTGCCCCTCCCCCACCAGAAGTCTCCTGGAAAACAGCATTTGTTTTGCCGGGGCGTCTGTCTTTCCAGCTGCAAGGGCTGGGTGAGCTGGTTCTCCAGCCTGCAACCCTGAGCTCATCCAGGATAGAGGCTTGTCTCAGGTGTTAGATCTCCTCCTGAGATAGAGCAGTGTAGCAGGCCCGCTCCTTGGAGGTTTCTGGGTTTGGGCATGTCAGCTCAGTCCTGCCTGGGAGGGCCAGGAGGGCACACACAGGAGGGAGACACCCACAGTTGGGGTCTGTGTGGAGCTGTTGACTGTGGGACTTGCTGAGAGGACAGCGCCACCTCCAGCCAGGGGCTCGCCTGCAGCCGCCTCTGGGATGGCAGTGCCCGGTCACCCCCTCCTGCACGACAGGAACGCACAGGTTTGGCCACGAGCAGCCCGGAAAGAAAGTGTAACTGCGTGTTGTGTTGAAACCTTGCTTGTTTTTTATCATTCTCCTGTTTAGAGGGTCATTTTTTCCATATGAAAGAACCCCGCAGCCAGGGTTATGAGTCTGACCTGAGTTCGGTCCCCACCCATCTAGGTTGAAGACTTGGCTGCCACCCCGAAGTGGGTGGATTGGCCCTACCAGTTCTCTGAGGGAGAAACGTGCCAGTCGGCTTCTGCAGAGGTGGCAGTTTTGGAAAACCCCCGAGGGCAGGCCTGCCCTCTGGAGTGCGGCTGCAATGAGTCAGAGTCAGTTGGCAGGCATTGTTTTGAGTTGTACGCTGCTGGGGGAAGGGTTAGGAGCCCCGCTGGCTTCATGGCTTAGCATCCTGCTGCTTCCCACAAGGTCCGCAGTTCGAAACCTCGGGAGACAGGCAAGGTTTTCTACTCCCATAATGAGTCAGGGAACTCACAGGGACAGTTCTATCCTGTCCTATGATAGTGTTGCTAGGCACCGCCCGCCATTGACTCCCATGACAGTGAGCTTTTTGGTCTGAAGGAAGGGTTGGCAGTTCAAACCCACTCAGAGGTACCTTGGAAAGTAGGCCCTAGGATCCCCCGAAAGATTGCAACCTTGAAGCTCCTGAGGGGGACAGTTCTCCTCTGTGGCACACGGGGTCACCCTGAGTTGGAAGTAACTTGTTTGATTTAAAAAGGAGGCTGTGAGCAAGTCAGTGGCTCTTGTTAGAAGGTGCCCTGGGGACGATGGTGGGTAAGCAGGGGACTGTTAGCTGCAAGGTGGGAGGTTCAAACCTACGAGCTGCCCCCCTGGGGAGACCGATCATGGGGGTCGCTCTGATGGCCATGGGTTGGCGACCCCATGGTTGTCGGCCAGCTACTGAGTCAGCAGAGGCAGCATTGGAGAAAGGCCTGGTGGTCTGCCATACCACCTGCCTGATCTCAGGAGCTAAGCAGGGTCGGGCCTGGTTAGTACTTGGATGGGAGATTATAGCCGGGAGACACTGGGGGCAGTTCTACACTGTCACACGCAGGTCACATTCTAGGGTCGCTGTGATTCGAAGTCAGCATTTTAGAGTTGGTATCCCCCGACACACACACACACACACACACACCTCTCTTGAAATGCTTCCTGGGCAAGATTGTTGGTCTACGCCACTTTTGAGTCACCTTCGAGTGTCCTTGGTAGACCTCAGGCCAGGTCCACTGGGGGTGGGGGTCGGGCTTGCTCAGGTGGGGAGCCTCAAAAAAACCCTGACAATGGAAGGAAAACGGGAGGTCTCAGAAAAAGGTGTGGAGTTGTCTCTTCCCAGCACGTCCCCCACACAGTGCCTCCGCAAAGTGTCAGCAGGGCCGCTGTCTGGGCTGCAGTCAAGACAAAAGAACCCACACCTTGGTGATAACTGTATTTTAGGGGTGACTTGAGCCAGGTCCTGGTTAGAGGGTTCACTTTTTCATGTTAAAGTCGGCAGTTAGTATCATCGGACGGATGCTGTGCTTCACAGTGAGTTCTGTGGGGTTTGTCAGACACACACAGTCCTGTGTCCAATCAAGGGATACCTGGTGGTGCAGTGGGCTGGAGCCTTGAACCTGGCTGACATTTGTGAGGAAGTGGTTTGGATTACCCCTGGGAAGGTGAGACCCTTGGGAACCCCATGGGGCCAGCCCCTGGGCCAGGGTACAGAACAGGTGTGTGGAATCCGGGGTGAGGCAAGTGGAAGAAGGCCTGGGTTATGAACGATCACGACCGTGGAAGAGCCTGTGGGACCCAGTTCTCCTCTGAGCCATTTGGGGTCACTGTGAGTCAGAGCCGAGTTGGGCTGTGGGCCTGACGCTTTGGGTTCGCCATGAGGAACACTCCCTTTGGCTGCCCCTTCTTGTCTGACTCCTCTTTCCACCCCGGCCCCTGGTTGGTGCTCTCTGATGATGCTGTAGTTTGGGCTTTTTTTCAGAATGTTCTATCAATCAGAGCTTCTGTAACTGCACGTGGGAGCCGGGAGAAAACCCGACAACGGTAGAAGGTTTCTGAACACATGGTGATCACAAAGTAATTCATAACCAAACACAGGTTGAATCCGAGGGGATGCGGATCCCCCGGCGGAGAAGGGGTCTGGAGTGGACAGAGTTGACGAAACTCGATTGGCAATGACTGGCCACTAGGAAAGCATGTGTGTGGCTCACCCTTGTTTGTGTGTAATAAGGCTTTACAGAGATTTCCTATCACCAAGCAGTCCTCCGCTGTATGGACTTAGCACTGCTTGCAGGATACGGGAATGGTTTCCGGTTTGGGGCTATGATGAGTAAACCCACTAAACATGTTTGCGGACAGGTTTTTCATTTTTTGTTTTGCTCCCTTTGGTGGCACTACGTTTGGACTTCTCTCCTGTGCCGACTGAGAAGTGGGAGAGTAGAGTCAACAAGAATTCAGATTCCTAAAGGAAAGTAATTGCAGCTCGTCGTAACTCACCAGAAAAGAATCCCACCATGTCCGGAGCGGTTAGGACTTGCTGAGCAAGAGATGGCGATAGGCTTGGTCTAGAAGACACACTCGCAGTGACAATGATAATAGGACACTTGCTAATGGGATGTCATGCTTTATCTCCCAGAACTAATTGGAATTAGCCCAAACTGGAACCAGGAAGCTGCGAGTGGTAGCGTGGCCTTTATTTCCACAGCTATTATTTTTCATCTCTTCAGGAACATTTGGCAGTTTTCATTTTCCCAATCGAAAGTGTGGAAAGCGACACCAGAGATCCTTGTGGAAATCTTGGTGTGTGTGTGTAGAAGCACCGGATTATTCTAATTGGGCTGATTTATCGGCTGCCA